TTATTTAATACACGAGTTTCACAATTTGAGTTGAATTACTGAAATAAATGAACTTTTCCACGACATTCTAATTTATCGAGATGCACCTGTACTGATTTCACTAAAACAGAAGAATTAACAGAGATGAACTGACTTTCCACTTCTTTTATCCGACTTTCCCAGGGAATGCAGGCTGTCTTGAAGTTTTCAAAGTCTCTATTGAATTTGATTATTTTCTGAAAAAAACAAAGTAAAATTTTTTTTTTTTTCGGTAATTGCATTTAAAATGAAACACTTCAATATGGAATATGTAGTGCTGTACCTTGGTCATCATGACTTTGAATGCATAGAGTCTCCTCCCTTTTCCTTTGCCCAAAGCCCCTTCAAACTTCTCCACAAATGCCTGGGCTTCTCTGTCAGGTGATATAAACAGAAATTTGCATTGGAATGGAATTAAAACTCAGTTGTATTTCAATTCAAAGTGACTCTGTGTTTCCACTTGTATTATCAAAACAACCATTCTGTTTTAATTTCAATTTTCAACATGGCATGAGTATTTCTCCCAGTGTTTGAGTCACATCACATTACTATACATGTGTAGACGAGCCAGTCCGTTGAGTTACTGGCTGGTTCTGCTTGTATTACGCAGCATGACCATTCAGCATTGTGCAGTAAGCACCAGATACAACACCAGAAAAAATATCATGTTTCACTCACAACCTTCACATACTGTAACTTGAGCATACAGCCAATTAATTAACCCATCAATGCATAATGAATGGGGATAGTGCAGATGGGATGGACACAATAATGAATACATTCACTAACTGAGATATGTGAGAACAAAAGCAGGCCAAACGGATATTACTGAAAAGGATAGTTCACCCCAAAACTCACCCTTATGTCATGTATGAATGTATGACTTTCCGCATTATTTATTTTTTTGGTCCATAAAATGAAAGTCAATGGGGTTCAGTGTCGTTTTAGACCCTTATGACTTTCACTGTATGGGGGAAAAAAATTGTCTGAAAAATTATTTTTAAAAAATGTCCTTTTCTGTTTCACATTAGTATAAAACTTTTAGTTTAAAACTCTTTCAGAAACAGTATGTAGACCAAGGTTATTATAGCTAACTAAAAGTAAAACCATTAAAAAAACAATTTATGTTACTGAAAATAAAGTAAATGTTAAATGAAATGAAATCTATTAAACTTGTTTTATTTCAGCTAGCTACCAAGGAAACATTTCTCATTTTCATTTAGTTTAACTTTAATTCAAATAACTAAAACTGAAAAATAGAATAGATATTTATTTGATTAAAAGTAGAATAAAATCTATATAGACATATAAAAAAATGTAACAAAAATAACTAAAACTTTAACTTAAATTAAATTAAATGTAAAAAATTTTTTTTTAAATAATTCAAAATATTAATAAAAATTACAGTAGTATCTCAATGATACTGAACACTGATGTACAGAAAAAAAGTTGTTGCCCAAAGTTGTCCAAAGCACCTCATTATGACCTGTGGTGGACCATATCAACATCTGTTTAGTGTTTGGGTATGACCGTATGACCTTATGGCACTTTGTACATGGAAACGTTGAAGAGAGTTACACCCATATACATGCAAAGACTGCCCTCAAGAAACATCAGCATGCATAAAACAGCGTCAAGCTCATGAAAGTGTAACATACCTCTCACCTAGCAGAAGTTACCTATCTAGAAGCTTTGCCAAGTGTGTCCCCTTGTAGCACAGTTTCTTTCCCTACAGCCCTCAGGGCCCATGTTACTGATGCTTTCTTGGGCAGTGTGTCAGTCTCTACTAACTTTTGAGGGCACTTTTCCAAACTCTCACTTGTCACCCGCACTGGTCAATTCCACTGGGCAGTCTGAGGTAAAGGTTCAGACAGAGGCCACTAGGTAATGAATTCACTGGCGTAGACACTGAGTCAAGCGTTTTATCGCAAAGTACAATCGAGCGCGTTTTGGATGATGCTGATTCTTTACCGAGGCTTTTTGTTTCCCCTTTTAAAAGCGCCATGTCATACTGATATTAATTTGAATGACTTTCATGCTTCCTAAAACATTTGTTTTTTCAAAGCCAGCAAGAATATGAAGCCAAAAAGAGCTCCTTTAAACATCAGCTTAAAGTGCATTAAGAGACATGAAGATGCAAGAAAGCAGAAGCACAGCAACTTGTAAGCTTTAATGAAGCACATAAACAAACATGAAACTCATGCTAGATAAATGAACTTCAGTTGAGGTAGTGGTGACGGACACGAGAGCCAATAGGATCACAGCACAAACAATGAGAAGGAAATCCGTTTTACTTCAGGCACTTGAGTCTCCTCTTCATGCGCCAGGGTTTGTTCCGAAGCGTCGCTATCAGCTTTTTCTTCTCCTCGACATCCTCTTTTAGTCGGGCCATCTCTCCCTCAGACATAGACTCGTCTTCTGAATTGTCATCTGAGGATGAACTGCTGCAGAACAAACCCCAGAGTCAGCAGTCAGTCCTTAAAGTCCAGTTTAGCAGTATATTCCACAAGGATAGTGTTGTTTTGGTGGATGAAATGAGTACTAGTCAAGTCAGGTCAAGAGTTCTAGTGGCAGGATGGCCATGAAAAGCACTTCCAGATCATCAATTGGAAGGCAAAAATATATATCTGACAAATGTACTGAATAATTTCATATTCAAATAAATAAATAAATACATTTTTTTATCACAACAATCACAAAATTAGGATAACAATACTTTTTGGGATGTTTAGAGGTTTTAGTTCCATGGCTGGATTTTATTGCTTTATAAATCACATATTACATAATAAGAATAACTGAGAACATTCAAAAGTTCTTTTATGGCAATAGATGTGAATGGCTGTGTTTCAATTCAAACCGGAGGTAATGAGGAGTGTTGAGTCTGTGTGTATGGCGTGGAGATGAAGGCTAGAGAATACTGCACCTGCTGTTTTTGCCTTTGTTCTTTTTATCATCCTGTTTATCTTTCCCTCCTTTTCCTGCTGCTTTGCCATTCCCCTTCTTCTCCTTGTTATTCTCCTCCTCTTTCTCCTTCTTATTTGCTCCTTTTTTCCCTCCTCTTCTTTTATTTCCCTTCTCCTCTTCGCTCTCCTCTTCTGAGTCATCTTTCGCAGCAGCCTTCTTCTTCTTTGTACCTGCTGCTTTCTTTCTTCTTCCTCTCTGCTCTTCCTCACTCTCCTCCTCACTTTCTTCCTTCTTCTTTCGGCCTTTTCTCTTACGCGGAGCCTCCTCCTCCTCCTCTTCCTCACTCTCCTCTACGCTATCTGCTGGCTTGGCTTTCTTTCCTCGAGCTGCAGGCTTCGGTTTATTCCTGCCTTTTGCTCTTCTTTTTGAATCCACTGAAAATATGGGGAAAATGTTGTCAATACATTTTAAAATAAAACGATTAAACACATAATATTTCATATTGTATATTAAATACATAATATAATGATAAATAATAATGTTTTTGTTAATAAAATTAAAAAAATTAATTAAAAAAATATTAAATTGTCTGTAAAGCTTACCGTCACTTCCACTATCATATTCTGCATCAATTTCCATCCCAACTGTAACACACACACTCTGAATTAATAATCAGGTTTTGAATATGGCTTTTATTTTGAATACTTTCACAATAATTAAAATAACGATATATTGTGTTAAACATTAAAACAATTACCATATATTATAAAAACCTGCAAAATAAGGGTCATCATTCAAGCACTGACTCACAAAAGCATAACAGAATTATTAAAAATTTTCAACTGCGTTATATATCAGAATATAAACAATCATTAGTTATCCAACCTATTCATATGTAGATTGATGCATCTGAAACTAGTTTAAACAATCCACTAGTACACACTGAACCAAATTATTTTCTGCTATTAAAATCTACTTACCATCATCCATAGTTATCGCAACATCATTTTTTCTGCGGGGCATCTTGCCGGTTTGAGTTTAAGTCCTTCTATTCAGACTTGCGAGGCATCTAGAGCAGATGACACACCTGACTGTCAGGTGGGTCTCTGTTAACAGCCGCTCACTCCTAAAAAAGGAATCAAATGACTCCTTGACAACAGTAAATGGTAGTCAAGATCTAAAGCCGTGCTGTGAGAGCCAGGAAACAAAACGCCAGTATACGGGGCAGATCAAAGATTAAAATAATCAGAGAGTAATCATGATGTCTCTCGTGATACGTAAACAAACAGGTTGCTTAAAAAACTGCTTTATGTACCTGGATTTAATGATGAATGCAACAGAATTCTAAATGTATTTTAATAACAATGTTTTTTGAAACAGGTTGAAATTAGAGTCTCAGAAATAATGTGAAGTGCTGATTAAATTGTTCCTCTTTAAGAAAAATGCATAACTCTTGATTAAATAACTCCTTTTGGATCTTAGCAGAAGAGGTAAACTGTTTATTCATTTTATATTCTCTTAACACACTTTTTCCTGGTTCTATATCAGTTCCTATACTGAACTATGGTTGAACCATGTTCAGATTTTTTACATTTGTGTAAATAAAGCATTATGTCGACAGGAAATTCAGGCACCTCTAAGGAAACTAACATTCTTGCTCAGGCACAGCAGCCGAATACCAGTAATTGTTTGGAGTTAATTATGTACAAGAGGTCTACTACTGTAACGTCCGGTAACAGAACTACAATCACACAGATCAGATGTCCCGCATATAAAAGAAGTTTCTCAGTGGTGGCAGCGGGTAAGATACTACATGGTATTGTGAAGACCTCATCAAGGTTCACAAGAAGGTACACAATACAAAAAGTTGTTATAAGTTGTTAAACTTTCACTTTTCTTGATTTCCTGGCATTTTCCGGACCATATGAAATGAATTCGAAAAGAGCTGTATCTTCAAATGAACAATGGCTCTCTAAATGAACAAATAAACTAAATCTCAAATGACTCCTGTTAATACTTAATGAAGTCTTCCCATGAATTATGGATGAGCATTTGCAATGTTAATGAAACTTATGTGCCAATTCTCTAATAAGTAATCGTCAAGATTTGATGCAGAGATATCATAAGTTTCTTAGGATTGCGAGATCTCTTTAATCTAGCTTTAAAGAAGGTGCTCAACGATATTCTCAGTGTTTTTACTATCTTCTAGTAGTGGGTTGGGAACAAATGCCCTCACATAAATGGTACACAGCGTAACCCCAAACAGAACAGTGTGGGCCGTGGCATGACAAATGAGCCACATGCATCTTCACTGCCAAATCTGTGGCTGCAGGAAAATAATCCGAGACATCGGACACCCCTAGAGCTGAGAGCAGATTTGAGAATACAGTAAGGCGCATGGAAATGTTGTGGGGCACCTGACACGCTGATCAAGATAAAGCTGCATGGATTGGAGAGTGGGGAAACAATGAAATGGAGAGAAGAGGCATAATGGTGGGCAGGGCCAAGCTGTCAATCTTAAATGTTGAAAAATTATTTTGTTTTCATATCTGTGGGGGCTATGTTGCATATATGTCCAAACACATTTTAGGGAGAATATTTTGTTCAGATATTTCAACAATCAATTTATGTGCTTTTTTCTATCAGCTTTTTAGAATCAGAACTAATGATGTCAGATTCGCGAACGAATCACTCTTTTGATCTAATGAGTCAAGCAGGTTTGCAAAAAGGTCTTAAATTGTTTGCGATTCAGTTTGATTCATTAAGACTGTTCACTCACTGAATCGTCTGCACCGCTTTCTCACACCACAATAGTAACCAGACAATTTATAAGACAAAAAAAGAGCTCTGGATGAAGTGGATTTCTACCCACTATCCATTGTAGAAAATGGTCACACTTTATTTTAAGGTCCACTTCTCGCTATTGACAAAAACCATTAACTACAACTTTTGCCTCAATAAACTCCTAATTTGCGGCTTATTAATAGTTAATAAGGTAGTTGTTAGGTTTAGTTACTGGGTAGGATTTTGGGATGTAGAATATGGTCATGTAGAATAAATGCTTTATAAGTACTAATAAACAGCCAATATGTTACTAATAGGCATGCTAATAAGCAACCAGTTAATAGTGCTCCTGTGGCTCAGTGGTAGAGCATTGCGTTAGCAGCGCAAAAGGTCATGGGTTCGATTCCCAGGGAACACACATACTGGTAAAAAATGTATAGCCTTAATGCACTGTAAGTCGCTTTGGATAAAAGCGTCTGCTAAATGCATAAATTATTAAATTATTAATTATTATAGTAAGAATTGGTCCCTATACTAAAGTGTTACCTGGAAAACAAAGCTAGCAAATGTGCTCTATCGTTTGTGTAATGACAAAGCAGCTCTTTATTGCATGTGCAGCTTGCGTGAACTACTCTGTACTACAGGTAAAAGTGATTTTGAAAAAGGGTATCAAAATTTGAGCACACTTTTTTGAAAGGGAAGCCTGTGCCCCAGTACTGATGAAAGGTTGGAAACGCCCCTGAACTTCGGCTGTAGTTTAATAAGTAGTTGCAATTGGCAAGTAAACCAACAATCCAGCAAATATGTCTAAAACTACAAATAAATATAAAAAAACAACAAATGAAGAAATAGTTTGACCCTAGTTTGGCCTGCGTGTAACAAGAGCAGTCATTTCTCTTTCACAGAGATAAGACTTATCATTCTAGAGTTACATAGCCACCAAGTCCTCCACTGAGCTCCACTGAGACATTCATGATATGTGCTGCAGGCCTGGGCACAGGATTTATACTGTATCAACAAGAAATAAAAATGGTCATAAGTGCCAAATGTCATGCATGCAACCTACAGATTCATCTATTTATCTATTTACATCTGTGCTGTTTATCTTCTGTTTGAGTGAGAGTTTTTCTGTGGCTGCTGGGGGTGACCTGGAAGATGTCCTGAAGCTGTGTGGCCCCGGGATGCAGGGGTTCTGGTAGTTGTGTGGGTCGAGGAGACGGGAGGTTCAGAGTTTTGAGTATGCTGACTCTGTGAGGGGTGAATTAAGCGACCGTTCTGTCCAGCTTGTCAGTGACGCCCTGCTTCATCTAGGCTGCTGCTTTCTTCATTCACTCCTGAGAAAGAAAAGGCAGAAAGACCTTTCAACTGCTGTCTCACAGCAACACTGATATGTTGTTTTAAGACTGTGGCCACATGCTGTCCAAACACAGCACATTAACTCTTCAACATTAATGGAAAGTTTCTCTGCATTGGTTCGAAGTTGCTGTCTTGTGCACTAACTGATGGAAGCTGTGACCCGTTCTGTGTGCTCTCACCCAAATCGGAGGCGCTGCTGCTGCGTTGTTCTCCTGCTTTCCTCGCCTGCTCCAGTTCGTTGGCTGCTTTTAAGGCTGCGAGTTTGTTCTTTTTCTTGTTTTCCTCATTTTGCTGTAAACACAAATTGGAGAATTCAGTGACATGACTATAAATGACCTATGGATTTTGTAACATTATCAGAGAGCAGTGAGCAGCTCTATGTCCATTGATTAAATTGAACTAATTTAAATATATATTTTGGTGTATGTGGTAAATAATAATAATAATTATTATTATTATCATTAATTTACTTTTTGGCTCAATGTTACTGCTTCTCCATCTAGTGGTAAGTTTACATAATGTCATCTGCCCATATAACCCTGCCCATATAAACATTTAAAACTAACAGACATTTGGACTTCCTAACTTACAGTTTGAAGTTTCTTTTTCAGCTCCATGTTTACCCTTTTGTATGTTTTAGACGTGGACTGCAGATAATATATTGCAAGACTAAAATGACAGAAAAAGAATGTACCATTACAATCGCACATCCTCACAGAAGTACATGAAACTCATACGGGTGTATTTAGACATTCCAACTTACACCAGGAGCAGAAGAAAGGGCAGCACCAGTCCGGGGTTCGAGGCGTAGCTGAATACTTTACCGAACCAGACAGGAAAGTCTGTCTCCAGGGTCTCCTGAATCACGTCAAGCATGCGGTTTTTCCCACTGCAGGAAAAATGGTGAAATTATCCATTGTTTTTATAAAAAGCTGTACGAGTATTAATTTGTATGCTTTTATTTTATGTGTTTATTTCTAGCTTTATGTATGTATGCATGTATGTTTATCCTAATGTAGCTACTCCCTGGCAGTATTTGTCATTATCTTAAAAAGAAACCAAAAAAATAATAAAATGAAAAATAACAATGAAACTTTCTTCAAGTAACGGTAGCTGCATTTTGTGCTGATTTTGAAGAGAAAAATGATGTGAGAAAATTGTGGACTTGCACTCTGCTGCACTCTAGTGCTAAAGATCTGCCATTGCAAGACTTGGCTCGTAACCATCCCTCCTCCACTTATTCAGTGTTCATTTATACATAAGTATACATATATACATACATACAGCTTGTTACTCTAAAGTCTAATTTGTATTCAAATTAATTTAAGAGATTAAAAGCTTTCACCACACCAACCAATTTCAGAAACATCAAATTACTCAGTTCTTATGCTAAACAGACAGGCTTCATACTCCATATCATTTCTAATCCATACATACATTTTCAGAACCTGAAAGGTCCACAGTCAAAGGAGGGAGGAATGGAGACAATGGTGTATATAGCTGGCAGTGTAGAGAGGAAGAGGATGACCAGCAGCATGGCCACGTAGAAGTTACTGGAGCCTGAAGCTTTGAAGACCCGTTCCTGAGGCACATTACAACACATCACCGCCCAACACTGCAGGTACATGGACACGTGAAGCCGGAGAAGATTTAATGCTGGAAGACATGGAGCGTAGAATGCCCCCATCCTGATGACATGCACAATACACAATGACAGAGATTTGATGGTGTACTGGTTTCATATGAAAAGCAAGAAAACACGCTACATTAAATGGAGATAGTTCTCACCAGATCATTCCCTGATTGAAGATCAGCCCCAGAACATTCCCACTGACGTCAAACTCTGAATAGGACGGCTAATGAAGAAAGCGCACTTCAGTTATTATAAATCAGGGGTGCCCAAACTCGG